ATTATTTTCAAACTTATTCATCTTGTGATAAGCCGCTGTTTACTCATATGAAGATTTTAGTTGTACACTATCACAACATAAAATCTCGCATTGACGCAAACTTATCACGCAAGAAGAAATCACATCATCTAATGTATTATCTAAACTACAAATTAATTGGTTAAAGCAATAAAAATAGAATAACTCAAATTAAAACCAAGATAACCTGAATGCACGTGTAACACGCAATTTATACATTTCTTTACACATTTGCAATCTTGCAATAAGGGTAGTTTACCTGCTATCAGTTGTTGAAGATATTATGTACATTCAATTAACAGACAAAAAATCTCTGCATATGACAGCCTTAAGCCAGTCAAAACTGGCATGACAGAGGTGTTGTCTTTTACTTAATTTACATATTACAAGCTGCTGATGATCATCATCAAGACAATATCAAAAAAAGATATTTTTTTAAAAAATTTCCTTCCCCTCCAAAACTACATGTATACTTTTTTAAATTAACAAATAAATTATACATAAAACAACCGAATGCCGCACAACTGGGCTACAGCTAAAGAGATAACTCCTGAGCCTATCTATTTTCGATGTTATGCCTAGTATCTTGGTACCATTCTTAAATATAAAATATAATTAATATAATATAAAAAAACAAAACCCTTTAGATGTAACTTATATATTTCTCCGCGGCATTGAAATTCAGCCAGTTTTGGAATGGCTTGTGCTAAACATCACTCTCTCCAAATTTATTAAAAGTGTCTGAAGTATGCAAATAGTGTTTTTTTCCTAGTTTCAGAGCGTGCCACTGATATTTTTCTCGAATTTTCTCTTGAAAACAGTTTTTTTTTGACAGAATTTGAATCTTCACATACAGCTTTTTTAACAGTCATGATTCCAGTATTGCTGCACTCCACTCCCACCCGGTGAGGTTGCTTCGCTTACTTTTTCATTAAGGCTTCTTAATGCATATTATTTTGCACTGGTTCCGAATCAAATATCAACATGCCGATTTTGCGTGCGCAGCTTCCCCATCACTCCCCAATTCCAACCTAATCACAGGACAATTATGACAAGTGAAACCAATTCGAAAATTTTATAAGATATGAGAATCTTTAATTCTCCATTAGTTTCCAAACACATGTTCTTGATTTTTTTGCTTAATTCCATCAATGTGGGCTCCCTCCCAGCTCAGATTTTTGATCAAATGCAACTTACACCTAAATACTTCCCAGCTTTGGCTTCACAGAAATTAATTATATTCCATTACAATGACATTCTTACAAGTCCTTTGTGTATGTCAGTATTACTTCAGATAAAGTGACAAACTGCTGCCATAATAATATCAGCTACAGGAGTGATCCGAAACCCTTCGCGGCACTGGCGTGTCTTCTACATTCGGAATGCCAGGAATTATATTAATATGCAAAATCAGTAATTTTGAATACATTGCCCGTATTGTCACCCATTCTTGAACCTTCAGTAAAGCAACCACACACCTTTCATCATTCGTGTGTGTGGGTTGACATGCCGACCAGTAGATACTGTGAATAATGTATGATGCTGATAATTAATAATAATAATAATAAAATAAAATAATAATAACTAATATAATATACTAAAAATAATATAATCAATAATAATAATAATTAATAATAATAATAATAAAAATTAATAATTACCTCATCCAATGGCAGGTCGAGTCGCCGACGTAT